AGCGATATACTGTTAGCGAACATCCGAACATGTTTTTTAATGGAAAGCATAAGAAAAGCATCTGATCATAGCAACATGGGTATGTTAGAATGATCTCTGCAAAGTAGGACTCCAGTAAAGTCACTTCATGTTATTTATGGAATTTTATTTAATAGATTGCTTAAAAGCAAGTAGCTTTACAGTATCAAACATGAAAAACAGTGTCAGTGTCTTCAACAGAAGCACAATTTCATTTTCTACTATAAAGCGGCAGTCTATTTATGTTTTCACCCACAGAGATCTTACCTCGATGGACTCAACAGACGAAATGAGCCAGAAAAGAGTTCTGCATGAAAGAAGGTGGGGCCTCAGCGCACACCTCCTATTACATTATTGTCACAGACCAATGGTAGTACGAAGGTGGTTTGCAGCTGGGGCGAACTTTCCCAGAGAGTTCACTTTGGCAAGCCATATCGAACTCCCTAAACGAACACAAAGCAAATTTCATTTTGGCATGATTTTGTTCGAAATGATGTCACATCAGTTCGTTCTTCGATTTCGTTATATAGTATATATATAACTATATGTAATATAACTATATTATATAGTTATATAGTATATTGGTGCCTTTAGATTCTAAGTTGAAACAACTGTGTGAATATTGGTTATGATAATGAAGATTAAACATTGTAATTCATAATGCTCTTGTGATTATTTCCCCGGCGTTAATCATTAGTTTTCATTTCCCTGTATTTTTCACAATGTCTGGTGTGCACATTTCTGGACCCAATAATCCCTCAGTCAGTCTCTCAGAGGGCTGGACCTTTAACAGTTTGTCTGTGTTTGTTATTCTGACCTTGGCTACATAACTGCTGACTCCTGGGCAGCTGAGCGTTCACTGATCTTCTTTTGTGCTTGTCCATGTTAGTATTATTCTGCTGGGATCTTTGGTTGGGACTGAGCCCAGTGTTGTGGTGGCCTCTTCCTCTTATTTGGATTGATGGCTGACCTCCCTTTCATGTTACTTTCCGGTTACAAGAATGTACAAGAAGTTACAAGGGAGTTTCATGTCATGAAATCAGAATGAAGAATGAAACCTTGTTAAAAGAATGATTATTTGAATGATTGCACTATTTACTTTAAATCATTTTTAGTAGTGACTCAGATGTGTATACTCACATGTATAAGAAAATTGTTTAACTTTATTATTTTTCTCTTTAAAGTAATCAAAATCTATTTTTTTCTTGTCTTTAATATGGTAGTTTCAAGCTAAATGGAATGAACATAATTGCAAAGAGTTTATTGATTTTGGCACAGGTGTTTTAAATCAGTTTTTTAATAGATTTTTCTTTATCACATACATGGTTATATGTCATTGGCCCTTGATTACTTAGCAGGTTTTGAGGTTTGATTGTTGTAGATGAAGTTGACCACTAAGTAGGAAAGTGGCAGCTCTGTTGTTGGGTGAAAGTAAAAGATTTTCTGCTGGGAAGCAGGATGCAGCTTTGATTCAATGTAGTGTTGTTTCCACCCACTCCTTTTTGGGTTGTGGCCAAGCCACCCACTCCAAACATGTTCTCCGTGCAGCTGGAATTTCTTTGACGTTTTTGCTAAATGCGTGTTTATAAGTTTGGCCGTTTGAAAAAGGATAGTTCACATTCCATTTGTTCCAACCCCTTTGAATACGAAATGGAGCACAATTGCTCCCACTAAAATGAATTGTTTCAATCTGTTTCACTACTTGTCTCCATCACGGTGGCCTTAAGGGCTCAAGAATTCAATACGAAGAAATGATGAATAATAAATTGAATAGATGTTCTTCCATCACCTCTAACCCCTGTCATGTCTTGATACTCTATGATTCACTCCAGACTAGAAGTCTTCACGAGGATTAGCATGGTAAGAGAATCTCAAGAAGCGCTCTTCTGATGCTAATGATGAAAAATGAATACCATCGTAGTGCCATATAAAGCTTATCTCTGGAGCCTGTAGCCCATCAGGCAGAGGGTGAGAGGATGGATGGCATCAAAGGTTGACTGGGGAGTAGGAATCCATGACTCCAGCACCCTGTGTGTGTGTTTTCTTTTCCATGCCATCCTATATGCAGAGGCGAGATAAGCATGTGCTTGTGGTGGGGACCAGGTGCGTGACTATCAGCCTCTCAAGGGATTTGTTTTGACAGGGAATGGTCCAGAGGGGATGCAAGAGGGTCAACCCCTCTCTCATTCTCTTTTCAGTCTCTCTTTCAGCCCATCCCTCTCTCTCTCTGCTTGTTTTCACAGGAGCACAGGCCACTCTCTGATGTAAGGCTCCACGCAGGGATGTTCCATATAATCAGGAACCACTGCTTTGGTTCTGTCTGGTATTTCTGTTTCTATAACCAGTGGGATTTTTTTGTCAGAGCAAAGCCTCGGGCCTCTCACAATATTCCAATTCATGGTTGAATGTGGCAACTGGGAGCAAGTCAGCTGGAGATTTCCCAATGCGCGTTTGGGCTCATTGTATAATGCTGAAACCCTGCTTTTATCAGTCAGAGAGAAAAGAGAGTGTCTCAGCAAACACAGCAGCAGATTTCCTTCCAGGCTCTTTCGTGGAAAGCAGCAAGTTGACTTAATCACACGCTATGATGCTTGGCCAGGAGGTTTGAGTCTTGGGATGCTGAGTTCCTATTTCCTCTCTTGGGCTGCGGCTTTTGGGTCTTCCATAATTCTCCCCCAACCCGAAAATCTTGAGGGTTCTCCCTCAGCCCACCCCTTCCCCTGGTCCTGTTGGAATGCCCTTTTCCTTGCCACAAGATACTCCACTGTGGCTTTGGAGGCCACCTAGAATGGAGCAACTCTGCTGAGCCCACATTCAGAAATAGAGATTGAGGCTGTAAATTAAGATCTTGTCAGGGCTCTTAGCCTCTTCCAAGGAGCATTGCCCATGCCCAATCTCATAAGACGCATTATTTGTTATTGGAATTATGGTACTTAAGAGGTACAGGCCACAGTTGTCAACTGTGCCTCTCTAGACAAGCCCGAGGGAGTAAACTCTATGATTACCATCATCGCCCTGCGGCATCAACAACAATATTGTTGTCATTCCCATCATCGTCCTCATCATGTTTTATGATCTTTGTCCCCACTTAACCAGCTCGCTTAGAGTATGGACTCAGATGTGGAGAAATGTGGTTGAGTGTCTGAACAGCACACTAGTCATGACCTACCGAGCTCAGATGGAACTGAACCTGGAGGTTGCTCCTGTTGACTTTGGCTTCTCCAAGGTGGTTAACAGCAGACTTTCAGCTCAGCTTCACCGCAGTGTGTTCGGAAAACACAGGTAGCTGGAAGTACGTCGTTCAGCAGTGCTTTTCCAGAGTGGCTTGATGAACTCTGCAAGAGAGGCAATGAAAATTAATTTCGGACTACACTGTTGTGTTGAATCCGACCTCCTGCCTGGAGCGTTCAGTTACATGTAATCCCCTGAGCACCTGGAATCCTGAAGAGTAAATCATAGCAGTTTCTTTTAATATATAATTGTATATAATGTTCTCAGAATGAAGGTATAGGTGTCATTCATTGCCTTGCAGTATCGTTGGATTGTACTCTACAGTAAAATATGATGTTAAAGGTGGAACGTGGGGAAAAAAAAAACAATGTTCATCATCTAAATGCACTTGATTCTAAAAATACCAAACAGACAAGCATTTAGGCTTAGTTTTGAGAGTGTTGAGTCTATCCCTTGAGGTATTAAATAAACTGTAGGTGCTCAGAGTAGGCTTAGGAACTGAACGTTGCAGTGTTAAAGTGTTCCGTTGTAGTGGAAATCCTTGCTGTTCCTCCACACATCCCTGCTTTTAAACTGAACCAGATGGGATCTTTCCATATAAAACTTTCACTCCCTTTTAAGTCACACAAGTCTTTAAGGCTAACGGCTGTTAAAAACCATGGTACATGTCATATTTTGCCCACTTAATAAAGTCTTTAATATATCATGGGCTGCTCAGTTTCACACCACAGATGAAAATCCATGTATGCAGGCATTTTGCCAGGTACAAAATGACAGACTGTTTAGTGATCATGGGCAATGATTCGTTTGTCCTCTGTTCATGGGACATGAATCGTATCTCCTGGGCTAAACACAAGAAAATGCCCTGATTATTTGTTTGACATGAATTAGCAGGGAGGTCTGTGCCAGTGCTGTCAGCGCCACTGTCAGGTTCTCCTCTTCACCCACCTCAAATGCTATGCAAAATGTCTAACACAAATTCTGTTGTCAGTCCACAGTCTCTGAGCCTTCCTATCTTTCTGATTCTTCACCAACTATTTCCATGAACTGGGCGGGGATGATAGATGAGATGAGAGTGAAAGTAAAGTTGACAGCACAAAAATAAGGAAGCTAGAGACAGCGAGTTTGGCAGCTAAATCCAGGGAACTAGACAAACAACTTTAGTGTGGATTGTTTCCGGGATTAAAGAGAGTAGACCTTCTCTAACATCTGTTTGTGTTGGCCGTCACATATATACAGACTTACTTTCACTCCAAACAACCCCAAACGTTTCCCCTGTCTTTCGAGTGTTCTTTTTGCACTCGTTCTTTCATCACAGCATTCAGTTGTTCCAGCTGCAGCCAGTGTGAGGTGTCTATGTCCACCGATCTGAGCTGGGTTACCGAGAGACTGTTTTGACAGTTGCAGTCGGAGTGTGACACGCTGCTGTGGAATGTTCTTCAAATGACAGAGGAGGAACCAGAGAGTTAGAGAGTGTGTGTGTGTGTAGAGGTGTGTGTGTAGAGAGAGACTCACTCAGTCAGGTCTCGGTAATCGGGCAGTGAGGAGAGCAGAGTGGTGGTTACCTTCCAGGGAAGTTCACGCCCCCGAGAGCGGTTTGGTTTTGTAGTGGCGTTGTGTCAGAGGAGGAGTGGAAGAGAGTGAGGAGGAGGGGATGAATGTGTAGTGGAGGAGCCTTCTCAGTTACTGAGAGCAGCACACGCTGTTGGCAACAGGATGAGCGTGTCCACACTCTCTCCCGCTAGCAGCACTCTCTAAGAGACCATTCGCCCCCCTTCCCACTTTTTACAGTCCCTGCCGGACGTCAAGAGCAGACACAGGGCTCTTGTCTCTCTCTCTCTCTCTCTCTCTCTCCCTCTCTCTCTTGTGGGAGAAAGCCACGAGAGACAACTCCTCCACTTTTTTTCCCCTCCTTATTTCTCTGCGACTTGCACTCTGAGGGACTATGCCGGTAGTTGGCGTTGCATCGAAACTCCGGCAGCCAGCTGTGGGGTCCAAACCCATTCACACGGCACTGCCCATCCGCAACCCTGGGAGAAGCAGCATGGCACATGGACTGACACCCAGGAGCTCGGAGCTCAGAGTCACGGAATCTTCTATGCTCTCCTGTCAACTGTCAATCAAGACAGAGATCCATGATAGGAGGTCAAGCTTGGTCCCGGCTCCAGCCACAACTTTGGCACGTAGCAGCAGAGAGGCAGAGGAGAGCAAGATCTGCAAGGTCAGTGAGACAGATGATGGCATATAATCCAGGCATTCAACATGTGCAGTGTTTGGGTTGGTCTTTAGAGCAGGTACTGATTCGCTCTACAAGTGGCTTTCATGTTGCCTCAAGCTGGTAGCGGTTCTTGTTTGATTTGTGTGGAATTATGATTGCATGCATGTTTGGAAATAGACCAGCTAGATGCCTGGTGGACCCATGCAAAATTTTAGCAGGTGCCATAGATCTGTCATGTCTAGACATTTGTATTCTATATGGTAGCAGTTAAGCTGTAGTGCATTTGTATGAATTTGGATGCTTTACATTAAAAATATTGATTGATCGATTGATTGATTGATCGATTTTTTACCACAGAATAAAGTGTCATACAACATGAGAGTGAAGTAATGATGACATTTTCATTTTGACTGAACTATCCCTTTAATTTCTGAAGGAAAACACACACTGCTGTATCATGTACTGTTTGAGCATGGCTAGTTTATCATTACAAACCATGTCATTCATGTCGCTGATACTTCCAGTTTATGAGCAAGCTGTTGTAATAGTTCTGCTGAGGCTATTAAGATCTCTATCTGTGAAATGAAGCGTGGGGGCAGTTTTAGGGGGGTGTTTGCGGGGGAGACTCGGCCACCTGAGAAACCCTTGTGTGTAGTGGACCAGTGCAGAACACTAACTCCCTATCCCCCATGTGTGGTGCTCTGTTACAGATAGATGGCTGGTGTTTCCCCCCTGCTCTACTGCTCTTTTCTCAGGCATCACTATATTAAAAAGGCACAGTTGCTAGCGAATGATAGACTTGTATGGATTGCTGTGAACTCTTTCCCATTCAAAACAAAAGTATGCCAAGGTTTCTGAAAGCAATTTTCATACATTTGGCAGGAAACCAGTGTGGAGACAGAAGGAAGGCGGGGTGCTTTTGAGTGAAGGAAGTGAGAATCTTTCAAAAATCCCGCCAAGTAGATTCATTTGAGGTTTTGCTCTTTTTAAAAAAAATAAAAAGACTGTAAGGAAAAGACTTTCCTGCTTAGTAAGCTCGTCCAGATTGTTGTAAAAGGCCTAAAAGGCTGGATTTTCTTGTAACCTGCAGGAAGTGTGTGCTAACTTCAAAGCAGGGTCATGGTTGACTGCTCAGGGTTTCTGGTGCCACAGTCGCAAATGTTCAGGGTTGCTGCAGGGCAGCGGGGCCAAGAACGAGGGGAAGTGTGTTTTATTATTAACTCAGTGCTCTGTGACCTTATGACACTATTCACTCAAGCGTCATGCCCTTTAGTGAGAAGAAAGACTAGATTTGTTTTTTCGTTGTAGTTTGCTTTTAAAAATGCAGTGGGAATGTTAAGACTGGTCATAAAGCTGACCAGAAACTGAGTGAGCACTACATATTAGAATGTTAATAAACAATGTCATATAATGTGACTGACTTTTTAGTGTCTTTCTGTCTCCTCAACTAAAGAAATGTCCCACCTGTCATTTCCTGACTGGTCACAAGGGAGCAATTAGTCCTAATTTGAGCTTGTCCACTCAGGTCTTTCAGCTCTCCTTTAAAGGGTTGAAGAGCCTGAGACAGTACTTACTTTCTCCTGACAGTCTAGTTTTGGTGGGGCTAGAGAAGATCATAATGCAGTGAAATGTCAGAGTGCATTCATTCAGTAGATGTGAATTTGTTTATACCCACATGCCTGTTTGGACATGTTTGTAATCATTCCCACAGAGGGCAGCACGTTCACCTTGTTTAGTGTTGACACAGGCTTTATTCGACTGCAGTTTGATTTTAATCGTGTGCCGGGACAGCAAACTTATGACAAACTTTGCATTTGAGGACATCAGTCTACTGCACAGCTGGCAGTGTTGTGATCTGCCGGTGCTATTTATCAAGTTTCCAAACAAACAAGAGCTCACTAGAGCAAGATTTAAAGTAAACCCATGGAGCAACGTAACGGCTAATGTGTGGACAGACTGCGAGTGTGCTGTAGAAGCTCTTTTGAACGGCTGTAAGAGAAGTCATCCACAGGAACCTGCAAGGGCCTCATCTCATGACAGTGTTGAAGAGTGTAAAAAATGACGGTTGTACAAGTGCAGTATCCCGTGATAAACAGAGGAAATATGTGGTTGGTCTGGTTGGTGGACTGATTTTAGCTGACGCTGTACACTTTATACACCTGAGAATAAGGGCAGTAAGGAATGTTTGAGTGTCTGTGGAAGGCTTGGTGAGAGAAAATATGTGAGAAAAAGAGAACAAATAGAAGGAAACAACAGGGTATTTTAATTAACTATATTCTGTGTCTGGGAAATATGAACAATAAGGAAATGTTTTCTAATTTAAACCTACTTTTATGAACTACTGTAGTACAGTAAATGAAAAATCACAGCAGTTCTCTAATTCAGCTTCCGTTGCTCTGCATTCCGCTCACTTGACTTAACAACTGACTTGAAAATGGAATGACTCCACAGGGTGCTGTTCACTGTTATACAAGCCTAAATTTGGGACATAAAGAATTATCTTCTTGTTCAGAGTGATTGTTGTGTTTAGATAATCAAATAAAACAGCTGTTGATATAGATCTAAAAATAATGATCCAGAAATGTTTTGTTGAGATAAATCCATCTGTTATATTTTATTACTCACATTTGTTGCATTATTTATTGTCCCAACAGCTTTTTGAAAATCATCTTTCGAGTGCTTGGCTTTGAATGCATATGGGGTGGGGGAGATAGTCTTCTATACTGCATGTGGAAACTGAGGTTTGTCTGTCTATTCTAGCGTCCAGTGTAGAGGTATGGCAGCAAAATCCCGTTCTAAGAAGGAAAAAGGTCTTCCGTGTGTGCAAATCTTTTGTTTGCTTTTGCCATCTTACATATTTCTTGAATGTGTTTCCTTGTGCTCTATTAATTGTCTTTTGTATTAAAGTTATGTGAAATCCCCCAGATGCTCTTAACTGTCAAAACTGGATTGTCAACAACAGGATGCAATGCGGCTGCTGTATTTACTCCTCTGATTTCTGTTGACAGTGTAACTGTCCAATGAAAGGTAGCCTCCCTTAAACTCAAATCTCTGCATTGCTCTTTTTTTAGTATAACTTTTCAAGGGGGGATAGTTCAGAACCTGTATGACCTTTTTTTACAGTTATGTCTCCTGGAAAATTTCTTGAGGCTGTTGTCATCTCAGGGTATCCTGTTACATATGCACACAGACACACACGCATGTGTATTCATCTTAGTAAGCTTAATGGTGCAGTCCAATAGCGAGGTTCCCCAGAGCTCTGTACTTGTCCCATTTAAGATTTGTATGTGTGAGATTAAGAAGTCAGGGAATATAAACAGGCCACTGACGGCTCACAGTGTGTTAGATGGGGAGGCAGGGGAATGTTGAGAGTGCAAGGGGACAGTGCCAGTGTTTCCCAGCAGCAGAGGTGCTGTCGGTGGTGAAACACTAAGGCTTGAGGTCGTAAGGGGGGGTTCTTCTGTCTGTGTATGACGCAGCCATGGGTGGTCTGGCATGTTGCACTCCTTATCTGGAAGAGTGCAGGACACTGAAGACAAGTGTTGACGCTGCCTCTTAGACAACCAGAGGTGGAGGCTTAGAACCATTAGACAGCTCAACTTGCATGGAAACATACTATAAAACAACTCTCTTAAGAGGTGTGACTTGTACAAATCTAAATAATCTAATATTTAATTCATATTCTTTTCCAGTGTGCCTACTCAAGGGTTGAGTGATGATGCTGTTTATTCAGATAAATTCAGACATATTAATTCACGCTGTTCAGCTTACTTATGAGTTTTCTGCACCAAGTCAAGTCATTTATTTAATAAAAATGCTAATTCTGCCTCCCATAAACAAGAATTAGTCCACCCAAAAAAATTCTGTCATCATTTACACATCCACATGTTATTTCCAGACTTTTTCATTCAGATAAGATAAAGCTTTCAAGCTTCAAAAGACATGCAAAAGCACCAAAAAAGTATCATATAAGTTGACTCTATATTCCAAGTCTTCCGAAGCGAATAGACCAAACAACATTTTTTTTGTGTGTATCACTTACACAAATTATTTATTTACTGTATTTTTGTGCTGATGTGCTTAAAAGCTTCACTCCCTTTTTTCCTGTAATTCCAAGGAAAAGAACAACCAGCTCATTATTCAGATTTTCTAATGAGAAAGTCTTATAAGTTTTGAACAGCATGAGGTTAAGTGATGAAAGAATTTAGATATTTTGGTAAACTATTCTTGTAAGTGTTTTGAGGTCACATTATAGTGTTTGTTTACAAAACAGCCATGCAAATTTATATTTAACTTTTCTGGAACCTGAATCAGTCTTTAGTTAGAACAGGAAGAAAAATTGTTGAGAAAAACAGCATGCAACTTAAACTAAAAGTTGCCAGGCAATACTTTTTTTTACAGGGGTGAGCAGTCCAGAGACCAAGAACACTCTGTGCACACAGCTCAATTTGAAAGAAAAAAATTACATCTAATAACATTTAACGATCTGGCAGATGTCATTTTGTTTCACTCGGTTCAGCTGAGGACTTTATCACCAGTTTCATTAAGTGGCCGAGCCACCCTGCCATATTTGATACTCTTGAATGGTATTTGTTGATGCGGCACTGCAGAGCTGCAGAAGAGTTTCTTACCAATATGCACAATGCAGCCCTTGGGCGGAAGTTACGTGCTTTCAGACAACTGCTCATGCACACCAGTCCATATCCACAAACACAGTACCTCCAGGCATTGTGCTAGTTCAAAGGTAAGGCCAATAAATGATCAGAGAGAGGGAGACAAAATACACTGATACTTGCATGTTGATTACTTGTGTGTTAAGAACAAAAAGAACAGACCAACTACAGCAGGCAAACTTACCTAGTTATCTAATGACCAAAGACCAATGGTTCTCAACCAAGGGTCCTCAGCAGACTTCCAAGGGGGCCTAAAGATTAAAGGGGTCATATGATGCTATTTTAAAGATCATTATTTTGTGTATTTGGTGTAACAGAATTTTAAATAAG